GGTCTCACCACTCACCCTCCCTTCTCCTCTGCTTCCAGCGCCACTTACTGAGTCTCTGCAACCACCAACCACGTCGGGCAGTGAGGACGCCAGCGGCTCGGTGACGTCCAGTGACCGAGACGTGAGATAAGTAAGGATGGGACCGCATGATGGGGCTGGTCCAGGGCCCGGCGTTGGCGGGAGGCTCAGGAAGTAAGGGCAGCACACGCGGTGTGTGTTTTCTCACGGACGGGCTGTGGGGCCGGAGGCCGGCAAGACCGAGGCAGGGCCGGGGGCTGGGACGGGGGTGCTGGGAAGGCAGGCTGGCTACCTGAGTGTCTGCACGCAGAGGAACTGTTCTCACCCCCGCCGCCGCCCTGTGAGCTGAGTGTGAACACACCCGTGTCACAGGGCACCGCGAGGCACGCAGCCACAGGCAGCGCGCTCAAGGTCACCAGGCGGGCAAAGCGGGGTCGGGATTCGAGTGAGGGGGGTCCGACTCCAGCGCCAGGACCTGACGAGGAGGCCGTGCACCCTGTGAGGTGGCCCGCCCCACCCTCCTGGGGGGGACGGCGAGGAGCTGGACCAAGCGCATCAGCGAGTCACAGGAGACAAGGCCAGGCCTGGGGGGAAGGGCGGAGCTGCATCGCTGTGAGAAGCACATTAAAGACTGAAGATGCATCGCCCTGGCTGGTGTGGCTCAGTGGACTGAGCGCCGGCCTGCAAACCAAAGGGTCACTGGTTCGATTCCCAGTCAGGGCACAGGCCTGGGCTGCAGGCCAGGTCCCCAGTCGGGGGCACACAAGAGGCAACCGCACATGGATGTTTCCCTCCCCTCTTACACACTGCACTGTCTAAAAATAAATATAAAGGGAGGGCATCGGTGGAACAATTGACAAGAGCCGAGGAAAGCCTGTGGCTGAGCTACTTTTGATCGGCGCGCCGCGGCCATCGTGGGGGGTGGGGGAAGGGCTCAGCGGGCCGCCCTGTCCTGGTGACACTTCCAATAAGCCCCAATTAATTCCAAGTACAAATTAAAAAGGAGACAGGCAGCCTGGGGGAAAATAATTGAATCTCTGCCTCACATATGGTACTAATATGACTTCCAGGAGAATATTTTTTCAATGGAAACATAAAAACTCAGGGAAGGAAAATGAGGGAAAGAGCTTTACCACCTCCCAGTGCAGAGGGCCCAGGAGGCACGAAAAGCCAAGCCGTGCATGAGACCGGCGATACCCGCGAGCTCACGAAATTCTGTGAACCGCCCGGCACACACACACAATAGCCCGAGTCACAGGACGGAGGCCCCTGCTGCGCACCGCTCCCGCACGCCCAGTGGAGGGTAAAGGGTGTGCAAACCGGGGAGACGGAGGCGGTGCTGGGAACACGCAGGCGAGGCTCAAGGTCGACCACTGCCAGGAACAGGCCCGCGGATCCGCTTCCCTCGCTGAGGGTCCCGGGTTTCCAACGTGCGGGTCCACTCGGAAAGCAGACGCTGGGAGTGGCACGCACAGCTTCCCCTCGAGTGTGTGGGCGTGAGCGCATGCCTAGACACGCGACCGATCATGCACACATGCATGCCTGGACATGTGATCGATCACACATGTGTGCATGTCTAGACACGTGATCATTTGCATGCATGCCCAGACATGTGGTTGGTCATGCATGCATGCCTAGACACGTGATCTATCACATGCATGCATGCCTAGACACATGATCGTTCACACGTGCATGCATGCCCAGGCATGTGATCAATCACACGTGCATGCATGCCTAGAACATGAGCAATCACACGCACATACATGCATTCTTCAGGCCAAGCACCAGCTCTCCCAACACGCTGAGTCAAATTTAGGCATCACAATCCGTGAGTAATTATAATAAAACAGTACAAGTGACCGCAGGACCGTTAAAACACAGAACCTCACGAATGTCTCTGCAACTCAGAATTTTTACTCTGAGATAAGTGAGAAAGGACACACTTAAGAAAATTACCAGTTAAACACAGTTGTCACTGCACCCTCTACACGGATTTAAAATGCGAACGTCGTCGCAGCAGAAGGGGGAACGAGGAGCCGGTGAAGCGCGTCGACGTCCCACAGACCCAGCACGTAAAGCGGGAGACGTGATCCTAAACGACGAGCGCGCAGCGGCGGTCTGCATTTCAACAGACCAAGCAAAACGCCGCTGACAAGGAAGGAGGCAGATCTTCGTGAACTTCCTGCTCCTTCTCTCGGAGTGCGGCTGCGTGCTGGCTGCCGGCGTCATGCCGGAGGGGAAGAAATAAGCCAGGACGTGAACGTGCACCCTCTACGGCGGCTACCGCTCGCTCGATCAGGAAAAAAAGCGGTTTTTTCCCCAAAAGTAATTTTTAACATCAGAATATTTAGCCTGCAGTTGCTTCGCATCGACTGGAAAGAAAAGTAGCTGGAGGCCAATGAAAATATTAAAAGAGTTTCTGGGAGCAGAATTCGTGGAATTCAGTCAAGGTTAAAAACGTTTGTTTTCAAGCAGGAGCTAATGCAATAAAACTCTTTTCAGCCCTGGCTGGTGAGACTCAGTGGACTGAGTGCCGGCCTGAGAACCAGAGGGTCACTGGTTCGACTCCCAGTCAGGGCGCTTGCCGGGATTGCGGGCGAGGTCCCCAGTAGGGGGCGCAGAAGAGGCACCCACACACTAATGCTCCTCTCCCTCTCTTTCTCCCTCCCTTCCCTTCTCTCTAAAAATAAATAAAATCTTTTAAAAAATAAAAAACAAAATAAAATTCTGTCTAAAAGCCACCAAGGCCACCTCCTCAGCACCCTACGAGAGGCAGCCGCGAGCTCACGCTTCAGCACCAGCCTCCTGGGCTGAAGCCCTGACCCCCCCACCTTGGGTGTGACCTGGAGCCGATCACTCAACCACCCTGTGCCTCACACCCCTCGTCTCAGTGTCAGGGTGATAACAGGCCCCCCAGAACCTCGGGGAGAACCAAGTGTGCCCCCCCCGTGCGAGACACACGCCCACAAGGGGCTCTCATGATGTGTTCAGTCAGGCCCACGTCTCGGAGTGGGCGTCCTTGTGTCGAAAACCCGAGGAAGGAGACCGTAGGAAGCGCGCCGTGAGTATCTGGTTGGGTCTGAACGTACAGCGCTGTCATTTCCCGTCTCTCACACCCTCTGCTTGGTGAATGGGATCCTGGGAGCCTCTCTGGGTCCGACGGAAGTGCCCCTCCCTCCACAGATGCTGCACATGCAGCTCCGGGACAGAGAAAGGAGCCGGCCCAGCGCTCTGAGCGTGTGTTTGGGGACCTCGGCATCTTTTCCTGATGCAGTACCATCAGCCCTCCAAGGGACGGTCTGGGGGCTAGCCACACACCTGGCTCTGCACTGGATCTTTCACCCAGATCTTTGGGAATGACCCACCACATGTCATCTCAGCCCTTGTGTTCCCCCAGGTCATGGAAAGGACAGGGCACACAGCTGATGCGGACAGATCTCGTGGGCCCTCTTCCCCTTTAATTTACTGGAAGTCCCAACATCTGAACGGAAGGAAAAAGGCCAAGTCCACAGGCATCTTGGCAGGGTGACGCATCATCAGAAAGGGATGTGCATTCCCACCAAGCACACACGCCAGAGCCAGGCTGCCCCCAACCCACGCTCCCCAGTCCAGCCACACGGAGCCCGCCCCGGCTCACCGGCCAAGGACGAAGGGGAGGAGAAGGGGCGGAAGACACGGAAGCCTTCGGCCTCGACCACAAACAAACTCTGCCTTCCGAGGAGGACAGGGGGGCCTGCCCGTGTGCGGTCAGGGCGAAGCAACCCAAACCCCACCGGACCAGGGTGGGGCCGAGGTGCTGGAGGACACGCTTCCAGTTACCTGCCTGGGAGAGAGAGGACATTGCATGCCAGGGGCTCCTCCAGGGCCCAACGGGACAGCAGGGCCCGGGCAAGTGCGTCTGTCTGGGGCAAAGACGAACTCAGCGGCAAATCCAGCCGCCCCAACCTCCAGACTTCCCTGGGGCTCCGTATTCCCCCATCGGGACCTTGAGACCTTGATCTCGGGAAAACCCAGTCTCCAGAGAGGATCAGCTCGCTCGCTCTCTCTCTCTCTCTCTCTCTCTCTCTCTCTCTCTCGTTTTACCCCTGAGCGTGAAGTTCATCCCCGTCACTTCTGTCCAAGTCACTTCCCTCTGCTTACGGACTGTCTGAGGTGATCCGCGGCCGTGCGCCCTGCTCCCCGGGGTGCTGCCGGGACGGGAACAGCCCGGAGCAGGAAGGACACGCAGCCTCGCGGGGACCTACACAGTCCCACTTCCACGTGGAGCCGCTAAACCAGGCCGTGACCGTGACCGTGACCCCGCATCAGGCTTAAAAAATCAACTGAACAGACCGAGTCCCTTAAATCCTCAGGTACCACGGAGAGGTAGCAATCCCATGAAACTTCAAGGAAGCACCCTACTGAGAATTACTGCCGGAAAACCCAGTTTGGGGTCCAGCATCACCACTGACCACCTGGTAACCCTAGACCTATCGCTCGAATTTTCGGGACCTCAGCACCCCACCCCTCCCTGTGAGAAAACTAAAGGGTTCGATACCCATCTAAAGTTCCTTTCAACTCTAAGGTTTCAAGCTCCATTACGTATTTTCAGTGCAAGTACTTTCAAGACATGGGGATAGCAACAGTTCGCTTTTCATCTAGAACGAGTATGAGAACTACGTGGGTAAAGATATAACAGCGGACTTTTAACATGCACGAAGCATGGGGGTGAGAAAGGAAGCAGAGTCCTCGCAGTTGGTTATTGTGAGCTAGCTGACCCCATACCACGAGGTGTGGGGGGTGAGGTTTACGCTGCTGTGGGTAACTATGGCCACATGCACCGCCAGCGTGTGGGGCAGAGAGGACCAGCCACCGCGGGGGAGGACAGCCGCCCCTTCCAGAGCGGGGGGGCACTGGCCAGGGGGCTGCGGAAACCCGGGTCCCCGACCGCGCCCCGGCCCCTGGGGGTGCACCCCCACCCCCGCCCGCCCCCACGCGCTCACCTTCCACCAGCTGGTCCAAGCTGGAAATCTTCTTCAGCCCGTCGATGGAGTAGATGGTCCTCACGCCCTGGGGCAGGTTCACGTTGTCCGACAGAGTCCGGGTCAGGTCCGCCAGCAGCGCCTCGAAGGAGCGGAAGCGGTCTGGGGAGATGGCGTACACGATGCCCTTGAAGTAGCGGTCCCCGTTGCGGTAGAAGCGCACCTTCTTGGCCTTCTTCTCGGAGCTGAGCGTCTGCAGCGTGCGCGTCCGGTAGAAGCTGCAGTGCGCGCTGTGCGTGGGGCTGGGCAGCCCGTTGGCGCGCGAGCCGCGGCTGTAGCGCTGCGCCTTGTCCCGCTCGTCGAAGTGCTCCAGCTCCATGTCTCTGCCCAGCGACATGGCTCGCGCGCGCGCTCGGGTCCGGCCTAAGGGGCGGGGCGACAAGAAGGGCGCTCGCTGAGGCTATTTTAGGAGCGTGACTGGGGAGGCTCCGCCTGGGAGCAGCTGGTGGGAGCGGCGCTGTAGCTGGAGACACATTTAACAGGAGCTCTCAGGTGGGGGGCGCGGAGGAAGCCAACAAACGGGGAGGCGGGCCCGCGGGAACAGCTTACTCATCACCGCGCGCTGGATCAGACACCACTCCTCCCGACCGACCCCCTGACAATGCCCGGGGCTCCGAGCAGCTGCGACTTCCAGCAGCCACAGCGGACCTATTTACCGACGAGGACACCAAGTCACAGGAAGGAACACACAGTCCAAGGGACACAGCGGAGAAACGCCTGAACCGAGAACAGGACCCCAGAGCTCGCGGCGGCCGGCAGGGAGGGCAGCGGGCGAACCCTGGCGGCCGGCGGAGGGGAAGCTTCCACGTCACCCCCCGCCCCGGGGGGCTACAGGGGTGGGCGGGCCAGGAAATGAAGGCGCGGGCCGCGTTTCATCATCGGTTGTCACCGTCCCTCAGCGTCTGTGCTCCCCACGGCCAGATGGAACCCATCTGCAAGTTCCACCAGCTCCGGGGAGAGGTTCCAACGCGCGCGCGTTCAGCAGACATTGTCTGAAACAGCGAGTGCACCATAACTCACCGACCTCCGTTCAGTGCCCCGGAGAGACTGGGCTAAAGGAGGAGGAAGAGGATGGGGAGGAAGAGGAGGAAGAGGGGGGAGAAGGGGAGAAGAACTACAGAAACGCTAACGAGAAAGGACGAAAGGGCCCCGGCCTGCCCTGCGCTGCGCTGCCTGTCTTGGTCGTGGAGGAACTGGAGCTCCGAGATGGGGGTGCAGACCCGACCCCCCACCATCTGTGCGACCTGGAGCCATCCGCCCGGCCCACGTCCTTCCCGAGCCACGCGGGGCAGCCACCACTCAGAGTGGCTACGACTTCATGCCCAAAAGCACGTGTCCTCCCGAAATGAACCAAGTGGAAAGAGCTAATGTTTCATTGAGTGTCTGTGATGCGCCCGACACTATCGCTCTGCCACCCACTGTTGGGTGACAGGCTACACATTCCCCTCCAAATCTCATGAGGAGGTAGGGAGCGCTGTGACTGAGGGTGAGAGCGGGGTAGACCCGGGGTCCCAGAGTCCTAACTGAGGGGGGTGGGATCTGGACCCAGGATTCCTCTGCCTCACCCTGAAGTTGGCACGCCCTCTAGGCCCCCCCCCCCCGCCGCCATGAGCTGTGGCCCAGAGGTCTAGACCCCCTGGGATCAGACCCTCCTGGCAGGTCAACTAGGGACTTGGTGAGGCCCTCACTCCTAACTCGCTGTCCCCGTGGGCAGCCACTGACCCTCGGCGCAGTCTGCAGGAGGCAGTGGTCAGCTGGTGTCCGGTGTCTCCTTCACCTGCTGGGGCTGCTGCTGACCCCAGCCGGGGGGTGGGGGGGGGCAGGGGCGGGGGCAGTGTGTGTGATTTAAACTGGCAGTGATTAGGCCCTGGGCAGGTGGCTCTGTGGGTTGGAGCATCTCCCGAAAGCGGAAAGGTTGTGGGTTCGGTCCCAGCTAGGGCACATACCTAAGCTGCCGGTTTGATTCCTGGTTGGGGCGTGAATGGAAGATGCCCGGTGGGTGTTCCAGTGTCTCACTCCACCGCCCCCCTCCCGGCCCTTCCCCTCTCTCAAAAGCAACTTTTAAAAAAATATCTTTGGGTGAGGATTTAAAAAAATTAAATCTGAAGTGATCATTAGTTCAGTCTATTTTTTCCCATTTAAGTAAGAAAACTACCTCATGCTTCTTAATTTGCATTTTCCGGGAAAAGTTATAGCATACATAGTTAGTTAGGTATCAACTGGTTGCACTGAATTCGAAGTTAGATTATCAGTTGATATCCTGCCCTTCAGGCAGCTATTACTTGAGTAACAGAACCAATATTTTGCCCACGGTATCACAACCCCTCCTCCGTTTTAGAATTTGTTATTAAAAGGATCCCTTTGTCTTCCAGAGAGGGCTGGGGAGGTGAGACCGCCAGCACTCACACCGACCCACTGAACTCCTCCAACTTGTGAGTCAGAAAGGCCAGACTGGCTTCTGAAGGTGGTGTTTCCTCTCTAAAGCCAGGGACCACCCTCCCGGCCCTCGGATTTCCTCCCCACATCTGTCCACGCCCAACGGAACCCGGCAGGACCCTCGCCGAGGAGGGCGCAGTGGCACCACCAGAGCGCAAAGCCAGTCGGAAGGTGCTCTTGTCCAGGGACGGTTTGCAGAGGCCGGAACACTGGGCGGCCGCTGGAATTCCTCCGCGGGAACCGGCTTGTAGAACTGAGAATTCCACAGCAAGTGGAAAAAAAGGTCGATGAAGAGATAAAAGCTGATTTTGCTTTATTTGCCCATTTCCTCAAACGGGACCGCATGGTCAGCCGGGGCAGGGACCAGACCAGCCGCGTCTCCCAGTTCCCTCGGCCGCGCCTGCCCAAAAGTCGGCGCCGGTGTTGGCAACAAAGAGAAACCACACTCAAAGTGAAATCACTGCCACGGCTGTGGCCACCGCTAAGTGAATGTCACCAACCGCATGACACATCCGGTAATTACGGGAGGCATCACACTAGGCGGTTTCCCGGGCCTTGGCGGGCGCAGGCACACACTGGACCCAAGCAGGCTCACCGGGCCTCTGCCAGCTGCCGCTCTCCGGCCCACGCACCCAGCCACACGCGCGCAGACCATTGCGGGCTCAGGGCCGGGGCCACATGTGCGGTGGCAGCAAGAAAGTAACCACGCAGCCCGAGCCACAGAGATCACAGACACCCCGGGTGGGGAATGGGGGGCGGGGGGCAGGGGGTGAGGGGGAGCGGCTCTCATCCCAGCGGTTCCTAGAAGCAGGGCCAGGCCAAGAAATCAGCGCCCTCCATTGTTCCCTGGGGACTGCTCGCCGTTCCATTCGGAGGAGCCCGCAGTCCTCCTCCTCCGGATGAGCTCCCGCCTTGCCTCCCTCCACCCCGCACACCGAGGCCCAAGCACCACGGCCTCTCAGTCGGTGCCGGACCGCAAGGCCCCGGGGCACGGCTCTGCGGCGGATCACAATGCAGGTGGACGGGCAGCCAGACCGAGAGGCGCACGCCGCGGCGGCGCGCGCGCCCCGCCGGACGCGGACCTCGCGGGAGGTGTGTGAGTCCTTCGCGCTGTTTCCGCACAGCACCGCTCTCAAAAACCCCTCCTGACCCGCGGCCATGTGACACCCCACACTTAAAACGCTGCCCTATTTTCTGTCCCTGCCCAAGGCGATTCGTTTGGGAGCACTGAATAAAACGTATTCAGGGAACAGGCTGCAGCGTGGACGCGGCACGCGTGTGCGCCCTAACCTGCACACACAGCCACTCGCAGGTGCGGAGAGAGGGAGCCCGTTGGAAAGAAAGGTAAAGTAGGGGGTTTATTTCGGGGTGCCTTTCACTCGCTCCGCCTCCACCAGCATCTCCCGGCCACATCCAGCCACCGCTCCCTAGCAAGGCCGGCCTGCAAACGCAGCCTCTTTTGTGGGCAATGCAGGGCTGTGCGTGCGCTCCCACCAGGAGGAAAATGCCGGCGCCCCTCCGCGTGCTCTCAGCACTGCAGGCACCAACTGCCACAGCAGCAGCCTCGCTGTCCCCGAAGGAACTTGAGGCGCCGCAAAGGCACTCGCGGCGCCCACACTGCAGCCGTCCACCACGCACAGACCGCCCCATCCTCCAGCGCACGCCTCCCTCGCGGGAGAGCACACAATAAGAGGCCTGGCCCGGCCACTCCTCGGCGCAGACTTGGTCCTCCTTCCGCGGCGAGTTCTGACAATGACCAGCCCCGCGCCCAGCCCCTCCGCCCCGGCTCTCCTTCTCCACGAACAACGGGGCGAAAAGCTGGGGCGCAGGCGTGGGTGGGTGGCGCTCGCCCGACTCCCCATTTTAAGCCCGCTGGCACCAGACAAAAGAGGCAGGTGCCAGCAGCCCCGGGGCCGCCCGCACACACCGCCCGCGGCCAGGGCCGGGCCGGCCGGGCCGGCAGCGCCTTTCGAGGAATGGCGGGCCGGGGGGGGGGGCGGCGGCGGGCCGAGCGGGGCGTCCGCCCTGCCCTCAGCGCCCCGCGATCCCCGGCGCCCCGCGGCCGGCCTCCCCGAAGCTCCCCTCCCCAGTGACGGCAAACCACGCACCGGTCCGCCGAGAGAAGCCGCCGGGGCTCTTTGTGGCCGCCTCCTGGTGCTGTCCTCGCCGGGCTGGGCGCGGCCGGGGCCGGGGCGGCGGGAGCCGGGGCTGGGCTGCCTGGGCTGCCGGAGCGGGAGCGCGGGCGTCTGGGCTTCGGCCGCTAGTGCAGGGGCGCGCCCTGGCCCGTCCTCATTGACACGCGGCGCTCCGCACAGGCTCGCTGCAGCCTCGCTCCGCGCAGGGCGGCGGCGGCGGGCGCGCTCCCTTCTCTTGTAGCGCTCCCGCCCGCACGCCCGCCCCGCTCCCTCCTTCTCCGCCTCCGCGTGCGCGCCCCGCGCCCCCGCCCCGCTCGGCAGGGCGCACCCACCGCGGCTGCGCCCGGCCCGCCTCCCGCCCCACCCCCCCCATCCGCCCCGGACGCGGCGACCTCCGTGCCTGTGGCCTGAACAAACCCCCTACGCCTCCCGGTCCCCAGGAGCGGTTGGTGGTCTGGAGACACGGGCAGAGCAGAGGGTGGGCCTGGGCCCAGCGGAAAGGAGTGTGGCCCGGCTGGGTCTGAGCCGGGCCCTGCGCACGGAGGAGAGGCGCGGGTGGCTCGGAGGAGAGACCCTCTCTTTCGGGGGCAGCGAGGTGAACACGGCCCCTCACACACACACCCTGACGGGACCCCCTGGCCTGAGGACACCTTCCCCAGGACCCTGGGGGCCAGGAGGGCATCGTGCTCTGGGTAGCAGAGCACCCTGCCAGCGCCCCTCCCGACAGCGCCCACCTGCGCACCCTAGTGTCCCCCGCGGCGCCCCCTCCTTGGGAAGGGGCGGGTCTGCGCATAGACCCCACCCATCGTCTCCGCTGGAGCCCAAGACTTGAGTCACCCTCGAAACTCGCCTGACCTCTGCTTGGGGCCGAGTATGTCACAATGGGCTCTTGCTAACTACAGCGCCGGGTTCAACTGCGGGCCCCCTCGTGGCCGCCTGCCCCGCCGGTCGGTCGGCGCTGGAAAGCCCCGGGCTCTCTCCCCAGAGGCAGGAATGTGGGAGCCCAGGCCGCTCACAGCTGCGGCCGGGCTTGGCCCTCCCCTCCCGTCCGGGCAGCGGGCAGCGGGAGCGGGAGCAGGTGCGGACTTCTGGGAACCTTCCTGCTGCGGGAGGGGCAGCCTGAGGGTGGCTCCCCTGCCCGCCTGGCTGCCGGCCACGAATTAGTCCCAATGTGCTGTGTTTCTCGGCACGGACGCACCGACGTTATTTTTCTCCTGCTGAGCTCGCGCCCTTCGATGGAAAATCAGAATTCTGTGTTTCTCGTAATCCTTGAGCCCAGGGATGCCCGTGACTACTTATCATTATTAAGAACTATTCGGAAATAATTTCCAAGTGTCACAGAAATGCTAAATAATTGTCATTTGTGATCCGAGCAGCTCATGCAGGTTCTGGATGCAACAAGTGCTGTGATGTGGCTTTTTTTTTTTTTTTTTGAACTGTGGGGTAGGTAGCCCAGGGAGGAGAGTACAATGAATGCACCATGTTAACTACACGCAAAGTGCCCAGCCGATTCCTTGGAGTCCTGTGGAATGGGGGGCGGGGGGCGGCAGGGCGGGGCGGAGAAGAGGTGGGGCCCAAGCGCACTTTCTGGAGAAGAGAAGTCGGACCTGTTTCTCCCTCCAGCGGCAAACGCTCACCGATTTCTCCCGAATGCTAAACCGGGAAATAGATTCCGTCTTCTCATCTAACCCCTGCGGATCCCCTGCCAGGGCCCGTTCTCAAGTGCTGTCAGTGACTTCACCGCCTCTCACCCCTCTCCCACCTGTCCCACCTGGGGCCGGCCGCTGACGTGTGTGCAAGGAAGCGCCCGTGAGTTGGACCCGCTCAGCTGCTCCCATGGGCGTCGTTACCCATTCAGGACGCCTCATTGTTGCCTAACGAGTAATTAAGTAGATGAGCACACTAAATAGGCCCCCCCCGCCCCCGGCCACCGCACTGTGGTCCTGTCATGGAGGCAAGGACGGCAGGCTGGCGCTACATGGCGCCGTGTGGCCTGACAGAAGTCCCCACGGAAGTGCTCGAGTTACCTCCAGGGCCGCCTCTGGCCGGTCGAACTCCTGTTCGATAATACCTCCCACTCGAAATGAAGTTTACTGGGGAGCTCTAGCTCAAGTACTTTTCAAACCCTGGTGCTACTTCCTCTCCATCGCCAGGAGAGCCATCGGGGAAGCGACTGGAATGAACGTGCACCCCTTTCCCACGGAAACCCGAAGGTAACAGAGACCCCATTCGAACTGCAAGGCCGGGGCTCTTGAGGCCGGGGACCCCGGCTGCTGTCCCCAGCAGCCACAGCTCTGCGTCCTGCAAGGTGCCCGCTGGCTGGGCCACAGGTCCGTCGGTGGCTCCTGCTAGCTTGCTTTTGGCTGCAAGGCGGGGGGGTGGGGGGGGGGCATTATATGTTTTCTTATTCCCACCAGGACCAGTCCAAGCACACACGCCCGTCCACACCTGCCAGGCAGGACGTGGGCACAGGAAGTCCACCTCATTGGCCTGTAGTCACGTTACATGAAGAGCCCAACTCCTTTCTTTAGACGTCCCATTGTTTCAAAACTCAAGCCAGGTTTTCCATCCCGCGGCCTCGTGCTCACAAGCAATACGAAGTCCCAGTGCGACGTCTCGTCTCTCTGGGAGAACGCAGCCTCCCGATCGGTGGGTTTGTTGTTTCCGACCCCACAGGGGAGAAGCCGGCGGCTGTGAGCACGGCCTCCTGGAGGAAAGGGGGACCGTCCAAGTGTCCACTCTGAGCCGACGTTTCCGTGAGAGCGCTCGGCCGTCTGGCCCTGTCACAAAGTGGACGGACAGCTGAATCTTTCTGCGCTTTTCTCCTCCCGTGAAAGTAAACCAGGCGCAAACCGGAGAGGAGAAACAGAACCGGAGATTCTATTGCCAGTGTCGGCGGCACTCGGTCCTCACCACCTCCGTCTCAGACCCGGCCCTGATCCGGCAAGGGCGGCGTGACTGGGGGTCCTGGGGACTCGGTGGTCCCGGACACACCGCTTCTCCTCCAGGAGGCTAATGTCGTCGAAGCAGCGTCTCCGGCAGGCACGCCCACCGCTGGCTCATCCGCTCAGTTAACACCTCCCTGCCCATCACCTGGATGGCTCCTTCTGGTCCCCGCTCTGTTCCACTTGCTCACCTGTACAGGGGGGACCTGAGCCCAGTGCCTGGCATTTCCCTGACCACCTTCCTATCGTGTCCTGCTCTTCGCTCCACCCGTCTAACCTGCTGCGTGAGATCCCTCTGGGCACATTGCCACCTTCCCCAGGTGCGATCCCTCCGGCTTTTCTCAGTCTGATGACTGCCATGTCAACACCTCGTCTCGGCCGTGGACCGCAGCTTCCGACAGCCACAGGGCACCGCCGGCTCCCCGGGCTCGCCAGCCAGGCTCTCTCTCCAGCGCGACCGCCGACGGCAGACGAGTCTCTCAGTGCACTCGAGCGACCAGAGGTCAGCATGTCCTCTGCAGCCGGTAAACATCCAGAGATCCGCTGATGACTGGGGCTCCCCTTTTCACGTCTGGGGCTGCAGCCTTGACTTGGACGCCATTTTGAGGTCATGGGTGCTGGATCGACCGCAGGACTCATTCATTCATTCATTCATTCACCCCCTGAGCCAGTGGCGTCTGAGCGCCTCCCACACCCCGGACGCCGTGCTGGGTCGGACGACCAGCACCGTGAGGTGGGGTCACAAGGGTCACAAGTACTGACACACGCTGGGTGCACACGTACACGAGCCGTTACTCAGTGTCAGTATCACGAAGGGCGGTGGCAGAAAAGAGCAAAGCTTCCTCCCTCCAGGAAGTGACACTTAACGGGACAGGAAGCCTGCCGGCGGGGCCCCAGGGCGGGCGAGTCTGACCCGGCGCAGAGGACGCCGCCCTGCAGAGACGGAGGGGGAGCCGCCGGTCCGAGGGCCAGGAGGCGGCACAGCGGCCCGCCCTGCAGACAGGTGCAGCCCCCGGGGCGGGACCCCGAGCACCAGGGGTTCTGGGCCACCTGACAGAAAGAATGTGGATGTTGTCCTGAAGGGAATGACAAACCACAGGTGGGTGTTTAGCAGAGCACGGGCCACGCCAGATTTGCACATTAAATAAAAACCTCCTCCGGCTTTTCCGGCTGCTCTTGGAGTGTCCTGACGGACAGGGACGTGGGGGACGTTTCGCTGTCGAGGGGCTGCCCAGGGGGTGGCAGGGGGCACAGCCGTGGGAGAGGGACACTGAGGGGTTCCCGTCTGCTGCGGTTCCTTTGCTTCACGTCATCGACCGAGACCACGCAACAGTTGCCAGCTGTTGCGCACAAGATGATATGACCTCGGTGACATAAGGCGGATCGACAGAATTATAACAAGAAAACGGAAAAAATTTAAACCGAGGTCCTAGTATTGACATCATACAGTCAATATTCCCTTTTACTACGATGTAATAGAAAAAGAGAAATGACTGACTAACGGAAAATTAATTTTAAAAACCCATAGATTAAAAAATTTTCAAATACGCTTTCACTAACCCATGGCCAGAGGAAGAAATGATCATGGATTTTAGAAAATACGTCAGAACACCAATTCCCTAAGCATTGAATTTCAGAAGTTACAAAGAAAACGACAAAAAGACAACTTGGGTTGTTTAAAGAGGTAAGTAGGAGAACTTCCGGTAGGAAAAATTCGAAGCTGGCTCTCAGATTTCCGCCTCTGTGCGCACGGACCTGATGAATGTAACCCCACGTGCTGAGCGCTGTCGGGCCCCACCCCTCGGGTTTCTGCCCCCAGGAGAGGGTTCTTCCGGCCTCCAGCAGAGTTGCTGGCCTCCAGCTCCGCCTCTGGCAGGGGTGTCCAACCTTTCGGCGTCTCCGGGCCACGCTGGAGGAAGAAGAGTTGTCTTGGGCCGCACATTAAATACACAGACACTAATGAGAGCAAAACAAAATTTCATCATGTTTTAAGTAAGTTCACGATGTTGTGTTGAGCCGCACAGGGCCCACGGGCTGCAGGTCGGACGCCCCAGACACAGGCGAGAGGCCGAAGCTGGGGCATTCGGAGCTTCAGCCAGGCTCCCCTGCCGGTGGGGACAGAGCCGAGAGCCACGCTGTGGACCAGCTCTGGGGCCACGCGGCCAAGAGCTCTGTCTGCCTGTTCAAAGCTGAGGGTGGTCCCCGACACCACCCGGCAAGAAAACGGGGTCTCACGCAACCACCAGCCAGTGAGTG